TAGTTACCAATAAATAAGTTGGGGATCAAAGGGACTAAAGCCTTAGACTGCTCTTTATCATAAGATATCCTCAGACAAACCTCCCCATTCTTCATTCTGGCTCTATAAAATTAAAGAGCAGAGAAAAACTGGTAAGTGCTTGACTTTACAGAAAAAAAGCCATGCTATTATTTCCTTTCTCATTATATATGTGTGTGTTTAAACAAATCCAACTACAACACCACCCCCCACCCTATCCCTCCAAAAATCTAGCTTAAAATAGGTGGTGGGGAAAAGTATTCCAAGTATCGCAAAGAGTATCAATTTAGGAATTTCAGCATGTTGTACTTTAAGAATCAACTTTAGTACCAGTGGCATGTTAAGACAGCCAAACATTAAAAAATGGATAATGGGCCAATTTCTGGGCTTTACCCCCAAATCTAATTATGTATTCATACAACCAAACACCAAAAGGAATAAACATGAAGTTTGGTCTAGATATGTCAAAACTAATCCCTTATTTACCAAGTAATGAAGTAAAATAAAAAAAGATATCTTTATTATCTAATCACAATGTCTGCTAATATTTTAGCAACTATTATTTGAATATACATTTAATGTTACATTTTTATTACTGACTGTAATATGCTAACAGAAAATCTGTATCCACTGACCCTCTTCCCTATTTGGCTATAAAATGAAGGACTACCTTAAACTACGTGTTTATACAAATTGGGTAAGAGACATTTTTAAAAATTTTTTTCTGAAGAAAATAAGCATTCTTAAGGATAGAAATGTATATTTCACAAATTTTTAAAAAATCAAAATCATTGAGATTTGCATATACCTTTAAGCCAACAGATACAAGTTCAAAGTCATCTTTGGTGCTTAGAAATAATCAATTCAAGTAAAAGACCTGACACTAAGTGGAAAAATCATGATACATGAAAAATTAGATTAAAATTAACCAATTAGGACTTCTACTACAAATGTAAGTCTGAATTGAGATCTTCACAGCTATATTTACAATTTCGGAAGCAGAATCATTTCATGAAATTGATTAAGTGAATGCTATATCCCAAACTATAAAACCCAAAAAGTTATAAATCCAGCATTTTGATCAATCCAACAAGAAACAGGTTGAAAAGTATTATTTATATCTACATATCCAATAAAAAATTCCAACTGCTGATAATCTGGACAATAAAAATTTGCAGTCTAAGAAGTCAAAGATAGCACTGTCTTTTCCACATAGAAAAACCTCTGGGAGAATTATGAATTTCTCACTGTATGACTGAGAAACAAAGAAGTTCGTATCTAAAACAGAACATTTAAAATATATATACCAAGACAATATATAACTGGGGTTGGGGGGAGTACACAGTGGTTAAGATTTTACACAGCTGTGAAGCCTAGTAGATCTGGGTTTAGAATCCTGGTTTTGCCAGTTGCTAACCAGGTGGCCTCAGACCAGTCATGGAACCTCAGTGAGCTTCCACTTTCTCATGAGGCTACCTCTAACCTTTCACAGGATGTCTTGAGGATTAGCACAGGATGCTTAAAGCAAACTGCTGAGCCCAGGGCCTCACATACTCAAGCATTAGTTACCATCATAATTATTTTTGTTGTCATGGTATCCAAAACAAAAAGTTTTCCAGCAGTTTGGGGAGTGCTTTTTCTCTTATTCCACTCGCTATTTTATGAACATAATATTCAAATACTCTCCCACAGATGTAAACCTGTATCATGCATCAAAAATATAAATGAATCTATTTTTAGGAAACATGCATCTTGTCATTCCTACATTTCTTTTCAGAGTATGTTGATTAAGAGAACAGAATAACCTGAAGCCTTACTGCTCCACACAGACTTGAGCTTGGCTTCATAATGGCCTTAACCTACAATGTATTCTCACTCTAAATTCAGAATGGACCACCACCTACTGCTTCCCCAAGACCTACATGGCTAAGAAAATTGGTTCACTCAGACTGCTAAATAGACAATGTCTCAATGTAGAACTCAGTTTCATGTACAAAGCAATGTAAAAGCAGTCACAGAAGAGAAGTAGGACCACAGCTTTCTTCTAAAGACAAAGGAACTGTAATTAACAGTAGTCATTTCTTTATTTTAAACAAAGGTTACAAGGGGGTAAGGAAAATTTTACATGGGACCAACCATAGTCATCCTATGCTTTTCTGTCTACACTTACTTTCTCCAATTAAAGACATAAAAATAGGCCGGACACGGTGGCTCACACCTGTAATCCCAGCACTTTGGGAGGCCGAGGTGGGTGGATTACCTTTCAGGAGTTTGAGATCAGCCTGGCCAACATGGTGAAACCCTGTCTCTATTAAAAATACAAAAATTAGCTGGGCATGGCGGTGTGCACCTGTAGTCCCAGCTACTTGGGAGGCTGAGGCAGAAGGATTGCTTGAACCCAGGAGGTGGAGGTTGCAGTGAGCCGAAATTGCACCACTGCACTCCAGCCTGGGTGATAAGCAAAACTCCAACTCAAAAAAAAAAAAAGACATAAAAATAGTACTTCAAACAGAAGGACAACATTAACTATTAAAATACTCCCATAGGGAAATATATATACATATGTACATATACACACACAAATAAATATGGATCTGCAATAATGTTTTTATCCTCTAGTATATTTAAATACTAAATATATGCTCTATGGTAAACTTAACATTGCTGTCATATTCTAAGGTCTACAGCAATTTCCCAGTAGCATTCAAAAATCTAGGCACAGCCGGGCGCGGTGGCTCATGCCTTTAATCCCAGCATTTGGGAGGCCAAGGGGGACGGATCACTTGAGGTCAGGAGTTCGAGACCAGCCTGACCAACATGGTGAAACCCTGTCTCTACTAAAAGTACAAAATTAGCCAGGCATGGTGGTGCAAGCCTGTAATCCCAGTTACTCGGGAGGCTGAGGCAGGAGAATCGCTTGAGCCCAGGAGGCAGAGGTTGCAGTGAGCCAAGATCGTGCCATTGCACTCCTGGCCAGGCATTTTTTTTTTTTTTTTTTTTTTTTTTTTTTTTGCCAGTGAGGCCATCTCAGCAGCCCTCCGGTCGCCATTGCACTCCAGAGCTGGACAAGGCGATCGGCATTATTTAAAGTAAGACAGTTACCAATTCCATTCCTACTCATCCCCCTCCCTCCAAACATACACTTGACCCCCCCCGCGAACTCCATCTTAAACAAACAAACAAAAATTTACTCTCCAGGAAAAATATTAAAAGTTGAACTTCAATAACTTTAAATACATTTTAAAGCAAATGTAATTAATCAGGAAATGATGGTAAAACTTGGAAGAAATGCCATGTTCTGACAGAGCAGAATACAGATCTGTGACAAAATATGAAAGTGATCAAGGGAAGACATATATGAAAAATTTCCAATTTCTAATCCTGGTTTTGACCTAATTTTTTAAAAAGTCTGATAAGTGAACAGCAAAATAAGGAGATACTAACTTTAAAAACCAATTTTACAATAGTAGAGTATATGCTTATAGTCAGCACACCTGATATTAAAAACAAACCTCCAGAATAACATTTCCAATCAATTGGTAAACCACTGTCGCAAACTGTACACACAAGGCAAAAGGTCTGTGTTCATTTCACTACTGAAGAGTAGATGGCATGAGGGCTGCCAATCTAATACTTCACCTTTGCAGGCACCTTAACCACTCTTCTGATAACTACAAGATCATTAAGTGTACAATGCATTGTCTGACATTTAGTAGATGTCTATTCAGATGATGTCATCTCAGCTTCAAGCAATCCCCACAACTGTCCCAGTCAGTGACTGATGCAGTGAGATTCTCAAATAGCTTTCCCTTCCTCACAGAGTCCAAGAGTTAAGAAGTTAAAATGGAGAAAGCAAGTTACTCTTCTCCCCTTATTTCATTCCCTTAAAACTGAATGCATCCAAGGCTAAAAAATGGGACTTAAAGTCTCCTTTGGTGACTAAAAAAAGAACAAACTGATAAACAAGTATGTAACAAAGAAGGGACTAAAATAAACTGGAAATACAAAACCATATTTTCAATGCTTCTGGAAAATGAACCAGTGAGCCAAAAATATTCAAGACTTTTATATACATGCATACACACACTTAACAACTACTTTAGTGAAAACACATTTCATTTTTCAGTATTTACTAATCACTTCTCACGCTGTAAGCTTTCCATATGATAAAAATCACAATTAGCTCTAAAGTATAATTCAATTTGGTATCTGAATTAAGGTATCATTAAGTTTTTAGAAAAAGGTAGTCTTATCTACGAAATGTTAAGCTTCAGAAATAGAAAGTACATCAGCATCAACTGCACGATTAACCCAAGATGACTATGGTAATTAGAAAGAAAAGGGAGTTACACATCTGGGGATATGGAGGTAAGACAAAAATGCAGTTTGACAGAACATGGTTTGTTATTTAAGAAGAGCAAAGAGAAATGCAAATACTGTTTAGTTTTGCTAACGCAAAAAAAACTAGAAGTTTCTACAAGAAGTATAATTAGAAAACACTATCATTTGCTTGGCTGCTTTTGCATTTAATGGACATGAGGTAAAAATATGAGCCAATTTGGAATTAAAATGTCATAATCTCACAGTCAACTCCTGATTATCTACACTAATGAAAAAGGGGGTTATCTTAAACAATTTGAAGCAATAGATGGAGAGTTCTCAACCTACTGCTACTTTCAGCCAATCTTTTCCCTTCTTCAAGTAGTCTGTCCTCTAAAGGTTTAGACTCCAGTGTTTTAGGGTCCAAAAAGGGCCATCGGGAAGAGGCCTGACCGATAGACTATCTCCAAACTGAACCATCCAGCCATAGATAACTGAGTTGACGTGACTGACACATATTCCAGTCAATAAACTGCAAATGGATGGACACTACATGCCAAGCATGCTTCAGAGTAATTTCTGAAACTGTAAGAATGATGACTGAGACTTCCCCAGCAAGAGCAAAACATGCTAGTGCCTAGTGAAGAGAACAAGTAGCTTACCTCCTGCAGTAGATCGGCCTGCTCAATTGCTTTAAGGACATTTTTCTTGGATGTTTCCTGAACTTCCCCTCCCAAAAGAAACTCATCCAAAATAAAATAAGCCTTCTCAAAATTAAAGATGATATCTAGTTCACAGACCTGAAAAGGAAAAAAAAAAAAGAAAAGAAAAAATTGTTAAAACTTGCAGAAGCAGAAGATGCTTATTCACTACCAGGTAGTGAATAAAATCAAATCAGAGTGAATCAATCTTAACTCTTTCTAAATATGACTAAGTATCACCGGTTTAAGTAAGCTTAATTTCCAAATCTCAAGTACTTGAAAACATATTCCTACAAGCTAAATAAGATTGGGCTCTGCATGTTCCCAATGTGGGCAACTTAATAATTTCTAGTAATAAAAACTGATCTTTAAACATGTATTTCCTGGGTAACATGATCAGAACTGCTAACCAAATCTAAATTCTATACTAAGCACTTACAGGATATTAATGTTTGTCGTTGGACTTGTTTATATTTCACTATTTTAAACCTCATCCTTACCATCTTAATTAAATGAGTTACGTCTGCAGGGCCAGCAATTCTGAAAGTTAGGAACTGACCAGGCCCACTGACAAGAAATAGTCATTCCCGCCCTCTCCTGCGGTTAGAATCCCCAAGACAACCAAATAATAAACTTGTTAGAGAAAAGGTTCCAAAAAATACTATGGCATTCAATTTCCTAAAATAAAATACTACTCACACTGCCGAAATACTTGTCAAGTAATTCCACATAACGATGAATTATTTCCAGGGTAATTAGTTCATTGTCCTGATCCTCAATAGCACAGCAAAAATATAGACTAGCATATCTGTAACGAAGTACAAATGTGAAAAAAACTATTACCCTGTAATCATGTTTTCTAAATATATTTTCACATCCTATTATGAAAGGCCCCAAGTTTATACAGTTTATTTCTTCTTTCACAACAGTACAGATTTTTCTCGTAGACTACAAAAGTAATAAATGCATAAGAGAAATTTTGAAAAGCATAGGCAAGCAAAAAGAAAAAAACAAAATAATCATACCACTTAGAAAGAATAAGTGATTTTGCCCTTCTTCCTTTCAGGTTCTTTTCTATAAACATCTTAAAACACAGCAGACCCAGGTTTTTCCTAAGTTTACTTAATTAAAACAAAATACATAACAGATTAATTCAAACTATAAGTACAGAGAAGAAAATGAAACCTTTCAACTGACGGAGGACTTGTTGAAGATAATGTCAAGATGAGGTCAATATTTTGGGATATTTTATTGGAATATGTATAATATACACACAGAGAAGACCTTAAGTCCTACAAGCTCAATAAATTTTCAAAGTGAACTCAACTATATACCAGCACCCAGATCAAGAAGCTGAACACTAGTGAACCCTGAAACTCCTCTGCTACCCTCTCCCAGTCACAACCTCCCATCCCCAAGGGTTAACTATGCTCTTGACTTCTAACAGCATATAATTATTTTTAAAAAGGTTTCTAGGATTGTGGAATAAACCACACGAAAAGAACAACAGCTCCACGTTATTACAGAAGTTAGAGAAAGAGAACAGAAAGTTCCTATCACTTAAGGGAAACAGAGACCTGTCCTCAAATTTACCAAGTTCTACACTGTTGAACTGAAGTGTAGTTTATTTACCCTAGAAGAGGGAATAAGGTTGGGAAACTTATATTTTCCTTTAAATTAGGATTCTAGCATACGGAATCAGGTGATGCTTGACCCAAGAAAGCAAAACTTCAACCTTGAGGCATAGCAAGTCCTTTGAGGAGGATTAAAAGGGCATTTTAAAATGGTTTACATGTACTTAAGCCTTTTGAAAAGAAAGAAAATAAAAACCTAAGATAGGCTAAACATAGAATATCTCAGTGGAGATTATAATTTTCACTGAAGATCACTTAATTGATTTTTAGAAAACACAATGGGCAGTTACTGCTCATAGCATTAATGTAAAATAATACTGTATACAAAATAACACAAACAACCTGTTTTGAGTCTCAATGAATTCTTGCTCCTTAGTGTGAAAATAACTAGTATTCACACAACAGCATTAATTTCATTATTAAAACATTTCATCTTATTTGATGTTTTCAACAGCAAGTACTATCTTTCATCATTGATTACAGATTAAAAAAAGACAAAAAAAAACAAAAACAAAAACAAAAAACCGAGGCTTAAGAGTACAGCGCCTACAAGTGCTAGTAGTGGGATAAGAGACCCGATCTTCTGACCTTAACTCCAGGCCTTTTTCCACTGTGTCATACAAACTCACTTGGCATATTTATCATGACTTTGTGCATGTCTACTCTATGTGTCTTCCACACTCAGTAAGTTATTTAAAATGTTGGGGCTCCTGCAGTCTTATTGAGAGGAGGTATTCACATGTGTTCATTTATCATCATTGTGAAGGGAATAAGTCATGGAAGACAAAACAGGGCATCAATGCCAACTTTAACAAAGTGCTCCCTCTCTTTCCCATCACTACTCTGTTTTTGTCTATCTATTTAAAAGAGAATGGAGTATTCCAACTCTCCATCCTCCCTAACCCGTGCTCATTAAATAGAACTTTGAATTTGGGGAAACTGATAAATGATACATAAGATTCCCTGATTTAAGAAAACTAAAGATTAAAGGGACTGACATAAAAATGGTAGATTAAAAACCAGATATGACTAGCTGATAGGAACAGAATGCTAAATAATTTATTATACAAAGTTTACTAACAGTTTCAAGTAAAATTCCTTTTACTCTAAGATTTCCTCATGCTACTATTAAACAATCTAATGCTCTTACCATCCTCGCTCCTTATCCACAGTACTGCCTCTTTCCTTACAAATAAAAAGCACTTAAACACTAGTCAAAGGTCCTAAACTGCATGAATCACTTGGAAGCATTAATTTAAAAATCATCAGGAACGATGTGTCTAAGCCCCAGCCAGTAATGTTTACTTTCACTCAGAATGGAAAAAGAATAATCAAATTAATGAATTCTTTGGTGTAGGTGAACAGATAGCTATCAGGATAATGATGTGCCTCTTTCCAGAAAGCTTAGGGAAAGAAAAAACAGAAGCATAATAATTAAGTACCATTCACTGAATCCTCGCCCTACATGGGACACTAAATGTTAGCTAAGGCTTTTGCATATTTTACCATTCTAATCCTCACAACAACCGTATCCATGAGATACCATTATTACTTGCACTGATAAGAGACCCAGGTTTGAGTAACCTGCCTAGGAACAGCAATTTGACTCTAGAGCCCAAGTTTTACATTAAAAACTATAGCCAGCAATTGCATTAAAGTAATCCCATACCTGGCAAAAATTAAAATATGCTCAAAACAATATTTTAAGAGCTTTGAAGAGAAATAAAAAATGCCATACTGATTTAGTAAAAGATTACCAAGAGAACCTGAAGTGTACTTCCTATATTTAGGACCAAGTGGTTTTTAAAAATTCAATAATGAGCTCATTTTGTTCTCTTAGTGCCTATTTGTAAGTCTAAAACTGAAGTAAAATTAATAATAGACTAGTAAGAAGAAAGGTATGTTTGGTTATTTTTAGCACAGTGGATTAAGGCTTACTCTAATTACTGGCACTCAGAGAACATCTGAAAGTGCCTATTCTTATATTCAAAACACATGACTTCTCCGCAGTCAGCTAAATATCAGCTAAATATCAGCTGACTGTGGGTGACTGTAGCTAAAGTGTTCTCAATACTCACTGGTATGTCATTAAAAATTCTTTTGTTAGTAAAGAAAATCAATAATTATTCTTTAAATTCTCAAGCTAGTAATTTGGAGATATATACGTTTTTAAATTAATTTTAAAAGACCTTAATCCAGTGACTCTTCCACAAAATGCTACACAAAACAGAAATCAAAAAAGCATAGTATTCTGTCTTGAAGGGATCCTCAAGAACATTTATTTTAGAGATAAGGAAACAAAGTGACTTGTTTAAAGTCATAAAACTAGCTAATGTTACAAAGGGAACAGAACTTAAGTCCTCAGATTTTCAGTCTGTCTTTTCAGCTAATATTAATTATTCTTATCCATCATTCCCCCCTCAAAAGGGGGAATTTGTATGCCAAATACTCAGGATGAAGAATGTAGATGAAATAATTTAACAAAAACAACAAAAATCACTTGCTGATATGAACAGCAAAAGTCCCAGTCCAAAATTTCTCAGGAGCTAAGCAGTAATTCTCTTGCTTAAAAAGCTCTTCACTTCCAGCAGTAGGGAAAACAAATCACCTGTTTATACCAATAAAAAAAATGTCCATAAGTGGTAGAGCAGATGAGGTTTTCAGTATGAAATGGAAGGGGGAACACATAGAGAAAGAGCTGATAAATTCCACCTTTTATATATGACTGATATCTCAATAAAGCTGTTATTTTTTTAAGTCCACCTTTCATTTAAAGGTGCTTGATATAAGTATCAGAGTTGGGTCGGATACCCTTTGTAGCTTTTAAAAGAAAAAGCAGTGGCTCAACACGGACGGACGGGCTGAGTGACATGTACATGAACACCAAGCAGTGCTTTCCTTTCTTCCCATAAAAGCCCATTCCTGGGATTGAATCCCTTGCTGGTATTTTCCTCCTCCACACGGGGGACTCCTTCCCCTATCTAGAAATAAGCTTAAGCCTCTCACACCTTCTTTTTTAAAAACCTTGTCCCCTATTCCTATGTCTATGAGTGGTTACCACCTCGTCTCCTGTCCTTCACAGCTAAGTTCCCCAAAATAGTCTACACATGCTATTTAAATTTCTCCACCTCTTCACACTTCGCCCCATTACATCGAGAGTTCTATCTCCACTATTCCACTGAAAATGATCTGGCAAAGGGCATTATATGAAATGCTCACTGTAAAATCTACCAGATTCCTTCCTCACTTTCATTGAACTTTATGCAACATCTGGCATTGGTGAAACTTCTCATTCCACTCTGAAGGTCCCTTCTTCACCTCCTTTGCCTGCCACTTGAATGCTGGTGATCTAATACTTTGTTTTATTTTCCCCAGACTTCCATACCTACGCCAACCACATCCCACCAGAAAATCAGGCTTCTCTTAATGAAAGTCACATAGACATCCCCAAATCAACCTGCCCCAAAATAAGCTGAGTTCTCTAGCTCACCTTGTACCCCATCAGCAAACCAGAAATGTGGAGGTCACACCACTCCTCCCTTTCCTTCGCTGCTCTCTCCACTTTTTGTTGTTGTTGTTGTTGTGGGTCTCACTCTGTCACCTAGGCTGGAGTGCAGTGGCCCAATCAGGGCTCAGTGCAGCCTTGAATTCCCAGGCACAATCAATCCTCCCACCTCAGCCTCCAGAGCAGCTAGGACTACACGTGCATGCCACCATGCCCAGCTAACTTTTTTGTTTGTTTGTTTGTTTTTATTGTAGAGACGGCAGGGTCTCACTAAGTTGCCAGGGCTGGGCTTTAACTCCTGGGTTCAAGCGATTCTCCTGCCTCCGCCTCCCATGTTCTTCCCACTTCTAGAGGTGACCAAGTCTTATCAAACCTACCTATTTGATAATGGCTATTTAGTAATAGCCCTCCTTTCCAGCAAATGGGTTCAGGATCTCAAATAGTCTCCTACTGATTCTGTAGGTGCCAGTCTCAGCCCCTCCTGCCCTCATCCATTGTCCCAGTTCAGTCTTTTAAGATATGTAAACCTGATCTTTTTCCAGCCCTGTTTAAAATCTTTGCCTCCAAGCTTAAGATCTGAGTTGCAGCCCCAGGTCAATCACTAACTGGCATATGGCCCTAGACAAGTCACCTCTCCCAAATTCGCATTCATTAAAAAATTGAAGTTTGATCAACAACGGCAGTTTTCAAACTCAGAACTGTCTCCTGTGCAGAGGGGTAAAGGCCAAGTGAGCCAGGATACAGGATCCCCGTTTCTGATTTTACGTGGAGCAGCCTCACTTCCAGTCATTTTATTTAAGGTTCTACCCATGGGGCAAAAAGCTTAAAACGAAACAAAACAGAACAAAATCACCTGACTAGATTACTGTAAAACATCTCTCACCTCTCAAATGATATGATTTTTCTATGATCTTTAATAAGACCAAACCAAACACTGGATACAAAATCACACAAAGATACTAAATCACCAAAGATCATTCAATAATAAAGAGGAGTCCTCAATATTTAAGAAACTCTCTATGTCTTGTCATCTCCATTTCTTCCCAGCCATCTCCCTGACAAAATATCCAACCCGTATCTGGAGTGCAATAAATGGAAGCCGAGAAGAAAACCAGACTTCTCTCCCACCCTCATTTTATCCCATACTGTTACTTCCATGCATATTCCCCACACAAGAGAACTTTTTATATGCAGAAATGCTCTTATCTTAAATTCAGTAAATAATTCAAAAAGAAACAAATGGGGAATGAAGTAAATGTCCCCTCAAAAAATGTTCTGTAAAAGAAGAAAGTTTATTTCTTTTACCCTACTTAGAACAATCTTGAGAAATTTATTTTAGGGTATTCAGGGATTCAGATATTTATAAAATAAAGATGTATAGCATTAAAAAAATTTTCAGTGTTAAAAGCCAATCTATGAGTCATTTTGTAACATCAAAATTTAAAAAAACCTGTCCTTGGCAAAATTATCTGTCATATTTAACTGCACCCCCACCATAGCAACAAGGGTACTTAAAGTTAATAAACACTACTCACAAACAGATCTCTTATACACATAAAGTTTTTAAAACAGCTATGTGATTGAAATAGTCTACATATTCAAGGTATTTATACGTAAGATTCTAAAAATCAGATAAAAGGCATGACAAATATTAGTCATTGCTTTATAGATTTTCGGAGAAAAAGGATTAGACTATCTATACTTGTCTAAATTCAGATAATTACTCACACAATTTAAAATACTGACCCTACTTTCCCCTGCAATGAAATGAATTCATTAAACTCTTCTATAAAGATGATTAAGCATGAATAATCATTTATGCCTTCAATTATATAACTAGTTTTCAAATGATTTCCCTGCCTTTATCATTCCAGCCTCAGTAATTACCAGTGAAAACACCAGTTATTTTAAAAACACAAAGCTTTACCTTAAACCTATTTCATCTAAATCTTTATTAATCATTATTTAGAAATGTCATCACTCAAAAGTCTGCAATTTCCTAAATGACCTAACATTTGATTCTATTTCACCTTTATGATAAATAAAAATTATACCTTTTGTAAACAATCTTCAGATCTCGCCACTCAAGGAAGCTGCACATTTTAGGTTTCCGTGCTAAAACGGTCTGAACAAGTTCTCTTGTGATCTTTTTCTTCTCTTTGTCTGATAGTGGGACATACCATTTTTGCAGTCGAAGCTTTCCCTGACGACTAAAAAGCAACATAAACTGCATCTGTTAAGATAAATAAAATCAAGATTACATGTAATACTTTGAATCAATAAAGTTAAGATTATGTGTTTCACAGAGAAGCTTTGGGGGATGGGGCATTTAAATGACAAATGATTACTAGCCATCAATATTTCTATGCCAATTAAAATAGCAAGAAATTCTTTTGGACAGATCTTCTCTAGATGCAAACCTTCCAATCCCACCCTGTTCCACGTTAAGTTTGGAGGGGAGTGTGCAAGAGAAAAAAGAAAAATTTGTAATAAGCTGAAGCGAAATTTTTGAAGAAAAATAAAGACCACTCTTTCAATTTAAGAAACTATTTTCTACCTGTGCTATACATTGTGCACTCTCTATATGTATCAAAAGAAAATGGTAGACATCAATTGATTTGGGTATTTTTGAAAGAAACGGAAGACCTGCTATTTTTCACCCTGAGGCCGTTCTAGTTCCAGGGTGAACTACTTGTAGACAGTAGCTTATATCTTAGAATGCTCTCGTCGGTTTATGATGGCATATTTCAAGCAAAACAGAATGATCCAAAATATTAACCGAAAAATCTCATAACTACAAATTTTCCTTAATAAAAAAGTATGTTTTCATCTTACTTTTAAAACATTCCAACTTAAATATGTACAAAATCTAGAACTGAGTTAATGTAGTATTATGAAAAAGAAAACAAACATTTAAAAGGCCACAATAGGATTTACACTTGTTAAATAAGATTTAGTATTGAAACATTACATGAAATACTTTAAAAAAAATAGTATCTACAGATAGAGTGGATGCTGAATTCTAGTGTGTTTTATTACTTAAACTAATTTGTATGTATTTATTTGTGATCGCAAATGTGTTGATTAGTCTGCATGTTTCATTTTTAACCCAAGCTTTTTGTAATTCAATTGGTCATCTCAACTGCAAACAGAAGTATTGTTTCTACAAAGGTAATTTAAAGCCAGAATTCACATAGGTATCCTTTTTTCTTTTAACCACTGTAAGTTCCTTTAACAGCGTTACTGCAAGTAAGATTCAAGCATGATTCTCAAGATTCACCACACCATCTTGAATTTGAAGACGGGGAGGGGAAATTTACAGAACCAATGTAGAATAAAAATGGGCCCTAAATTTCGGTAAGAAATTATCGTCGTTTTTTATAACCACCCAAAAAGGTATCAACAAGATATCTAGAAATTTATGACGTGGCAATTCAACTTTAGTAAAGTTAAAATGGTCTTATTACCTCACTTAAAATGCGTCAGGGGAACAAAATATAAGGACATTATTAGATGATACCAAAGTGCCTCCCGTGCAAGTCCTGAAGATAGCGGCATTCGAAGGGAGCAGCAAGTGAAGCATCAACTGGACATTTACTGCAAACCCGTTACCAGAACTTGGAAAAGAATGGATCTCGTATTCCTAGATCTTGGTGACCAGAAAGGGTGAGGGTTTGCTTGCAAAGAGTATGGGCTCAAGGCTGTCTGGAGCAGGGTCCTGTACCCGCCCTACCACTTTGCAGGACGAAAAAACAATGTATTCTCCTTAAAATAAATTATGTCCTAACATGGGACGAAACCCCGTTGCAAGGCACGAGTATTCCTTCCCTCGTGTTAAAAACCAGCGCTTTGATTTTGCCGCAAATCACAGGGCACCACAATTCCTCGAGATTGGCATTAAAAACAATGGGCTCAGCCGCGGCGCGGGCTCGGGGCCAGCGTTCCTCGGGTCCGGCCGTCGCCGGTGCCTCCCCCCCACTCCCGTGGCCACACTCCATCACTGACCAAGCCCGGGCGAGGTGACAGGCAAGGAGCGGAGCAGACAATGGCATCCGCCGCCGCGCAGGGGGCGCCAAGAGTCCTCGGCCGCCACCGCCCCCGGCCCCTCCCGAAAACGCCCCGCAAAACTTGAGGCGATTCCCGAACCACAGGTGCCGCGGGGCTGTCGCGGAGCCCGGGACTGGCCCCCACATCCCCGGGCGCGGCGCGGAGTGGTGCGGAGGACGCGGACCCTGAGAGAAGTGAGTTGCAGGCGCGGCGACCCAGTGGCGGGCCGGGCAGGCTCGGGGTGGGGTCGCGGGGCGCGCTCGGGGTGGCGGGGGGCGCGCCCAGCCCTCCCTCCCCCTCTCCATCCCCGGCGCCCCCTTTCGTCCCCGGGGACTTACGGCGGCCGCGGGCCGCGGGCGCGGCGGAGCTCGGCCGGCGGCGGCGGCGGCGGCGGCGGCGGCTAAGGGGAAGCCCCTGTCGCCGTGCTGAGGAAGAGAAGCCGTGGTGCTGTGGGGAGGGGACCCGGCTGGCGGAGGGCAGGCTTAGGCGGAGAGGGGAGGGCGAGCTGACAGACCCCGCCCCGGGGGCCGGACGAGGGAGGAGCCGGGGCTGCGGCGAGCTGAGGGGCGGGCTAGGCGACGCGCGGGAAGCGGCTCAGCAGTTGCCAGCGGCACCGGAGGCAGCGCAGGTAACCGCTGAATCCAAGGAAGCCGATTGGAGGCTTCTTTGCTGAGGGGGTGGTGCGAACCGGAAGCCGGGCCACGTGACCCGGAAGCGGCGTCTGCCGGGCCCGCGCGCCCGCGCACTCCTGCTGGTGCCTCCGGGACGCGCGCGGGCGGGTATGCTGCCTGTTTAATGATAGGAGGACGGGATTCTGCAGCGTCCTCAGCCTAGCCGGAGGTGCGGGGCCGGGAAGTTCCAGACAGCGAAGAGCCTCGTTTGAGCTCTAATGATTCTCTGTGTCCCCAGAGGGTGGGTCGGGGAGGTGTGACGGCTGACGACAAGGGTGGGAGGAGACGAGGGAGTGCTGCAACTCTGGAAAAACAAGTCAGCTCTTCTGTGGAGCTCGTCACCCATTCACGGGCATTTTGCTATCATTCTGCCTCAAAATTGTCCGGAATCCGGCCTCTCCTTCCCATTGCACTGCTCCAGCCCTAGCCCAGACACCTTTCGCCCCAAGCTTCGCGGGAGTCTGTTCCCTGGGCTCGCCTCGCCCATCTTCGGTGCTGCGGAGTTACCATCCGTTCGGCTGAAAAGCCCGGACAGCACCTCACCTTCGAGATCCCGCTTCCTTCACACTGGGTCGCCCCACCAGCCGCCTGGGTTCCAGTTTAGCACTGCCGACGACTTGCTGTGCCTGGCATGTCCTTGCTCTCAAATGTCACATCTCCTATGAAGCCTCACCCTAAAACCCTGTAAGAGCGATTCCCTCTTTCACCCACATGCCCGTTAGCCTTTATTTAGCACACCTTAAGTTGTATTCATTTTGCATCCCAGTCTAGTTCACTGCCTGGTGTATAACACAATAAATGTGAGTTGACTGATAAAGACCATAAAATGATAAATTTGTTAAGAGCTGTAATGCTGAGCGTAATGCCGGGGCATAATGGATGTTCGTAATTTTCTGAATGATAGAATGGATGAATCATCTAGTCATTTACAGATAAGGAAAGGGGAGTCCCACGGGATTAGGTGACCTTCCTTGAAGAGCCACGGGTTTCCCATATCGCATGCTATTCATTATCCGAGTCACCTAGGTTCCTACAAAGGAAGCGAGAAAATTGCTTTTGTTGGGCCATGTCCCTTTTGCAAAGGTTCCTAGGTGTAGTCGCCAGAATTTTTTTAATGGCCTAAAGTAAAAGAAATGCTAATTTTTTCACGAAGCTAAATGTAATCAATGTAAAGGAATCCTTTATTAGGAATTATATTCTTTTTGTGTGCATTTTAGTATCTACGAAACTAAGACAGTAGTTTTGGGGGCATTTTTAAAAAGGCCTTTGTATGACAAAACAAAAAAATGTGTAATACTTCCCCTTTTCAAGCACTACTATGCTGCTTGCAAAGTCTCCTACTAACATGTATGATTAATGTATACTGGAATATTAAAGAAAGGGGATGACACATGGCACAGAGCTGACTTTCTGTAGTTCTTTAGGTCCCTTTCGCCCCCAACAGATTTCTCCCTACCCAGTCATGCCCCAAAGGTACTTTCAAATGTCCCATTTCTCTCTCACTACAAGAAACAGATGCCATTAACCAGTGAAAAGATAGCTCTAATGCTACACAATGAAAACTCGCCCTCTGAATTCAAATGCTGCTTTTCTCTTTTTCTGTACAAAACACTTCCATCCTCAAGGTTCCTGAGATAGCCACCTCCAAGTTTAAACTGATTATCCTCCTAATGTTGCTCTGTGGCTCTGAAAATGAGGACGGGAGACTTGCTGATGACATACTGGCAGTCTCCCTTCCTGCTCCTAGCCAAAAAAAGGTGGGGGTAGGGGTAGGGAGGGGAAGGAATTGTGGGAAAAATAATTAGCAGCTGAAAGCAGCTATTACATAATCTTGGCTGCTTATTAATTTAGCAGAAGGAATGGCTTATTAAATTCTAATAGCAGCAGCACAACTGCAAACAACCTAGCAATTACCAGTGCAGGGCCCATTATTTTGTTAATATGTTCTCTTCCTTTGGCAAGTGTATGAGAACAAAATTTATAGAAGCAGATGGTCTTTTTCAGTAGATTATAGATGGTTTATTCCCTAGTCTTAGTATTAAGTGCTAATTATGCATTCACTGTGAAAGACAAAAGAAACATGGTTGCCATCTTTGTTAGTAATTAACTGCTTGACTTTGATTCCCACAATTTCCCAATGGTAGGCTTTGTTATATACATGTTTCTTCTCACCTAGTATCTTCTTCATCTGTCATGTCAATTGGTTATCTTTTCTAATCCTCTGTTTTTGTTTTCCACATGGTCCTGATTTATTGGTATTAATAATGATATAAGAATTATATACAAAATTCATTTCATGAAAAATTAAAAATCAGATTTTATACTTGTTTCTCAGATTTGAAAAAAATGCTTCACTGTCATTTATGCTAAATGTAAGAGGTGAGGGGAAAATAGAAATCTTTACCTTCTAACCATAAAATTTTGAGACTTTTTATGTAATCTTTCCAAAGTTTTCAAAAATAATTTTAGTTTCCTATTAATTGTGTGATGGCCATATACTTTTATCCTCTCACTCTCTCAAAATACCATTAAATTTTTTTTTAAAGGGACTATTTAAAACACATACCCACGTGGAAAATAAGAGAGAAAACATTTACATGAGGATGTCGATAAGGATGTCAGGATACACTGTCAGCTCGTCATTTAAACATTTAAAGAAAAATTGTAATATATTGATATTATGGAGGAGCAGAAGTGAGGGGAGGTTGAAATAATGCTAAATCCTCATGTGCTAAAGGGAAGAAAATAGATAACATCTAAAATAAATCACGAACTAGAATTGTTAGCATATTCTTTAGATACCGGGAAGTAAATCCCAGAAGCAATGGTGACTTTCTTTCCATGGACAGAATCTTGCAGTAGGAAGTAATAAAAGGTATTACTACATTTTACTTAGGTTTTCTCTTAAATAATTTTTTAAACTATTGTAACGAAATAGATAAAAACCATTCAGTTAGTTGCTAGCTCTGTATTATGGACTTATACAGAGTTCCTTTAGCCAGTCTATAGATTATTTAGAAATTATTAAATAAAAATGCCCAATAACGGAATTCAGTGCTGAAGCCTTGTAGAAGATCACAGAAAGTGTAAAAAAGATGCTTAGAGTTTGTGAATTTGCATCTCCAAAGATAAAGTTGTTCCAGGGAGAAAAATGGCCTAAAATAATGAGGATTTGTGAACCAAATCATTTCAAAATAGATAGAGCTGTCACTGCCAAAGTCCTCAACAATGAGCTAAAGAGAAATGTGGAACATATGCTCTTTCTCGAAGCCTGTTTCCATAGCTTTGAATAAAATGCAGGAAAATTACTACTGCCCTATTAACATTAGGATAGAGCAGTGATTCTCAGCCTGGGCCCTTTTGCCTCCCAGGGGACACTTGTCAGTGTCTGGAGACATTTTGATTGTCACAACTAGGAGTAGTAGGTGATGCTGCCAGCATCTAGTGGGCAGAGACCAGGGATGCTGCCCAGCATCCTGCAATGTACAAGACAGATCCCATAGCAAAGAATGATCCAGCCCCAAATGTCACTAGTGCCAAGGTTGAGGAAGAAATTCTGGGTTAGTCACTGAAAAGATTAACATGCAGTAGCATATTTTTATAGACATTTCAAGAAATGGAACAAACACTATCTTCATGTAAGTTTCTCTTTCTCTCTCTCTGTACCCCCCCTTTCTCGGAGTTGTAGGCATTGTTCTTAATATCTGCTAGATAAAATCCTAAACTGCTGAAAAGACTGGCGGCATACATAAAGCAGTCAGTATTATATAATAGCAACTAGAATAAACTATCCAAAATGATTTTTTTAAAAATGACCCCAGAATATTAGTAAAAGTTACTTAAACACTTGAATCCATGAAATGCCTATTCCATCCATCCATATATTGTAAATGTTTGTTAGGTATCTGCTTTATACTGGGGCACTCTGGAAGGTAATGAAGATATAAAGACGAATAAGATATTGACTTGGTCCTAAAGCTCCATTTCTTCTGACACAGAATTTCAAGTTTAGAGACAAACCCTGGATGGTCAAAGGATAGTCATCAACCAAATGTATGAACGTTTTCTTTTAGGAAACCCCTAGAAATGCTTCATAGAACCTTAGATTTCTGTAACCAACACATTTGAAAACTATGTGCTCTCATGACCTCCCAGGGCTCTTCACAATATTTTCATTCGATGAATTTCTTTGTCACTCTTAATTCACAGCAATATAAGAGATTCTGTATGTTTTAAACAAATGATTTCAAATAATGTCTTGATTTGATCCTTGAAGTGAAATGCTTCAACAATGATCTAACTCAACTCCAAATTGCTAAACCAGTGGTTCTAGAATATTCTCTTAGAGGACTTGTGAAAATACAGATTGCTGGGCCTCATTCCGATAGTTTCTGATTCAGGAGGCCTGAGGTGAGGCCTGAGAATTGCATTACTAACAAGTTTCCAGGTGATGCTGATGCTGTTGGTCTGGGAACCACACTTTGAGAACCATTGCTCTATACCAAAAAAAGCTATGATATCCAACTAGAAAGTTGTAATATAATTTTCATGGTCTAAAGGAAACTTGAGATCTGAATATTTTTTTAATCACTGACCTCATGAAACCCGAGAACATTAGAAGAGTAATATTCCCAGTTATATTCACCTGAAGCTAAATCTACATGCACAACTGAGAATGACATATGGTCATTGTATGTCCTGCACAAACTAATTCACTATAATATTCTAAGGCAGAAATTGGAGTGCTTAGGGAAACTTGAAGGTTGCATCATAAAAGTCAGATGCTTACTTGATGAAAATCACTACCTTAAAAATATTTCCCAACTACTCATGGCAAGTAGGAGTCACCTCTGAAATATTTTGTCAACAACTAAAGACGTGGGGTAGAAAGGAAGAAGTCTAGAGGGAACAGCTAGAGAGAATCAACGTGCCCTGGGGGTAAGGCAGAGACCAGAGACGGCTAAGCAGTAATCAAAACCTGCCCGTTCTCTTCCTTAG